AATATTTAGCGAGTACATGTTCATTTTGCAGATCAAAGTAGCGACTTTTGCTTTTAATAAGTTGGTCTAATAGCGCACAACCCGTTCGATAAAATGTTCCAAAGAATATTATGATTTGTCTTAAGTGGTAGTAGATTTGAAGACTAAGGAAAGTTGCTGGCAGCTTGTGGTTTCAAGAAATGTACGGAAGAAAGGGATACCAACTGGTGAAAGAATTTGATAGTGGCGAGAAAGGGCAGCTCAAGCCTTTCAATGTAAGTTTGCTGCTTGCTTTCGCAACCAGGGTTTCTATTGTTTGTGTGTAAAATTGTTAGAAATGTCAACTCTGCTAATTCACCTATTTCTTTTTTTTTTTTTTCGAAAGGAAAGGTTCTCTTGCTTGTGAATCGCTAAATGGTTAGCAATGGGGTTATTTCTCAAATTGTTTCGTCATATTTACTTGATGGCTTTGTCTCTCTGTGTAATTGGTGATTTAAGTGGCGATGCGATGATATTCACAATTTCCTAATATAATTCCAAATAATTTCTTACATTTACATTTCTGGTTTTCATGTTTTTTATGTACTGTGGTCGATTCTTTGTCAGCTTCCTTTTTTTTCCTCCTTGAACCTCCTGTCTTTGGATCTTCATCATCAAAGTTCATATTACTGTGGGTATGAAATTTCTGATTGATTTTTAGATTATCTATATAACCTTGTAGAGCAAGCTCTTTGACGAAGTAGTAGAAGAATGCAGCCAAAATCATCTTGTGCTCCAGTCCTTGATAAGGTATTCCTGTTTCGCCATTTGGTATTTTGCTTTTAACTTTATTGAAAAGCACTGCAATGTAGGCAGTATCTGAAAGGAGCCTCTTGGAGAACCTGATGAAACTAATATATTTTGGGTGGAACAAGTTTGCAGTCTTTCATATTTTGTATGTCAAAGATAATTATGTGTGTAGAATATAAAAGAGCTTTAGATATACTAGAGCTTTAGATTTCTTGAATTTCTTGTAAGGTTTAGGAATTAAGGATTTCAGGAGTATGTTTGCTTGTTATAGAGGATTATGAAGTCTGTGAGTTACATAGTGAAAGGTTGCCCTTTCCATTCCCTTATTGTTCCCAATTTCAGCTGCTGAGTAGTGACAGTTCATCAGATGCGTCACAAGTGACATTATTAAACAAAGTTTGTAAGCACTTATATTGAGAATATAAGGTACTTCCTGTAAGCAATTAGGAGTAATACTGAGATTCTCTTTGCTTTGTTTTTTTTTTTTTTTCAAGACTACTCACCTTGGAAAAGAGGAATGATGAAAGAAATTCTTGAAAAAATAAAAAGAAAGGCACAAAGAGGGATGGAAATGTTAAGAACCATGCCCTGGAAAACACTATACCAAAGGTAGATGTTTTCATCCCCTCTCTTACAGCTAGACTCATGGTTGGAGGGTGGAGCCCTCAGAGGTTAGTATCTGCAGATTTTTGCCACAGTAAGACAGAAAGACACTCTGGTGAATGAATCTTTTAGGGATATAGGCGAGGGGGTGACTTAAGGAGTGGCGGGATGTATAGAGACACCTCAATTATTGGAAGATCAACGAATATGAGAACCTCCAATGTACCTTGTCTCTCATTGACTCGGATCGTAGTAACGATCAACCTATATGGAATCTTACTGAATGTGCATCCCTTTCGGTCAAATCATTTTACAAGCATTTGACTAAGCAGGAAATTGAAGATGGTGAGTTTCCTTTTAGACAGATTTGGAAGGCAAATGCTCTTCCAAGAGTGGCTTTCTTTGCGTGAGAAACCAGTAGAGGTTGCATTCTGACGGTTGATAAACTGATGAAAAGGAGAATGGTATGGCGATCAGGTGTTACTTACGTAGAGGAGCTGCAGACGATTCATTAATGGAAGTATGATTACAAAGTACCAAAAAAATGATCGACTGTTACCTTTTTCTCTCTTGCTCATGAGGCATTGAGTAATTAAAGATGCAGATCTTTCCTATTAATTAAGGCAATAGTACCTAGCCTAGTGAAGAAGAGATCTTGGTTTTAATTTTTGGGCCTCAAACACTTATTTGAAGGAAGGAACAAGAAAGAGAGATCTTGGTTAGAAATATCAGGATCAAGTGCTCTTAAAAGGAAAAAATATTTCTTTTTTTTCTTTCACAATTCAATATTATACTAATGAATTGACTTGCAGTCTCCTGGAAACACACTTTTGAACATGTTTTATCATCAAATAAACCTTCATGTGATTCAAGACATGGTGTTGCAACAGGAAAATCCAGCAGGAAGGATTGGATGTTCAGACAACTAGAAATGCGGACCACTATGGAGCACTCATCCATCACCTTTCTTTAACTCGTAACAAACGCTGCCTAATGGCTTATGTGTAAGTATTCATTGTACATTGTTTTCTTATTTTCTGAGGGAACATTTCTGAGCTAGTTTATATATGGCAGGAGGTTATCAAACTGATTGAAGTTTATAACTATGTAGGTTCAACCGAGCAGAAATTATACAAGATCTGGCATGGAAAGTAGGGCTTGAACTTCTTGACCTTCCAACAGAAATTCAAGAGAAGCTCACTCAATCGGAGAAAGAGTATTTTAAGAACCATTCTATCGCTCTAAAGTCATGCATGGGGAAACTAGGCATCGAACTGAATGTGGTAAGTCATTTTTCTGTGTCTCTCACATGAAAGAATTTGCTGCTAATAAGCGTTCGTCTGGAAGAAACGGGCATGGTGCACATAACAGTGTAAACCCTTTCTTGGTGTATGACTTTCTAGGTTATAGTTAAGATGATGACGAAGTTTGTGGGCAATTCACCTTCAAGGGTGAGTTGGCTTGAATTTATTGTTTATTCATCTTAACAAGCTGCCTGCTGTTAAGCGGTGTTTGCATCTCATAGGAAGGCTGCTTGGTCATGCTCAGCTAGTAAATAATTATTTTGCTTGGAATATAGTTGCTACACTAGGCGCCATTATTTTGTATCCACAAGACCTACCCTTAAACCAATTGTCTAGATCATCACTTATATTCTTTGCCAGGATATGGTGCCACCCAAGGATCCTTACATCAAGGTCAGAGTTGTTGAGAATATTGATGAAGGAATAGTGCTCAGTGATAAGACAACCAATTTTGCGAGCCACTCAATGCACTTCCTGAAACGAACTGATGCTGAGCCATACATTGCTCGGGTGAGTTTAGTTACTCATTTGATTCAAGTAGCGTATCAAATGGATCATAAGAAAAAAGGATTAAAAAACATAGGTCCTTCAACTTTTCATTTCTCTGCACCAACAGGGCTTGATGGAGGAGCTTACAGGATGAAATACCAGTAGTAATTTCCTTGACCATCTAATCAAATTTGAATGTTGGTCAAGCTGTTCCTCACTAACAGGCGTGGATAAGCTGATTGACCTCAACTGCTTTGCACTTCGATGGGGTTGGCCATTCAATATGAAATCATATCCAATTTCCTCATTTGCCCCATGTAAATTTAATTAAGTACTACAGAAACAATTGCAAAGAAGAGATTTAACTTGTGACTCTGTTTTTTTTTTTCCCCGTTATGTTTTCTAAATTTGGTTTGTATCTTAAGGTGATAACAATTGGAACAAACCTCAAGACATTATTATTTTTATGATGAAATCTTCTCAAAGTCATTCATAATTTCAAGTAATTCATATATATTCTTTCTAATTATTAGAGTTTAATGAATAATTCATAGTAAGAATCGAAAGTATTTGTTTCAAACTTTACTTTTTACTTTCACTGAAAAACAATGTACAATTTACTTTTTAGTCAACAATAATTGGGTATATATTATCATAAGTTTAAGTTTAATGATCATAATGGTATGCATTAAAAGTAATCATTACACACACAAAGTTTGAGATACAAAATAACAGAAAAAAATAATTTTCTGTTTTCCTTCTTCAAGAGGAAAGACAAAAAATAATTTAGATATACTTTTACTTTCTATATCTATTATTGCCACCACTACTACTACCTTTTGAGTTTTCGTACACACAAGCATCAACGGCTACTAATATACGAGTTTCAAACTTGTGGCCTTTCAATGCTGTCCTAATCTTCTTCACTGCTTGTTGCTTCATCAGCCTCCGTTCCGGCACAGTAAGATGCTTACATTTATCCATTCCCTTGAGGAATCCAACCATAGTTTCTCCAGAACCCCCACTGGCTTTTTCCTGTTTCACTAGCTTCTCCACCACTTGCAAAGAAAACATCTTCTCTAAACTGCTTTTGTTTCCTAGCTCAACAAAATCCAATATGCAATTAGTGGCTACTTCCCTTGTCTTTACTGATCTGCTGTCAAGTGATTGAGCTATTCTGTCTACGAGACCTATCTGAAAGATCTTATTCAACACCAGGACTCCACCATTACCGACTAGCATTTCGTGGAGTGCTGTATATGCTGAATCCTGCAGCTCTGCAATTTGGCATTGCATCATCTTTACCAGCTCAGGAATGATACTATACTCGAGAAATTTCCTGATGAAGGGTTCGCCACCAGAACATGCTAGTTTCATCAGTAAAAAAGCCGACTCGGATCTTATTGAGTTTTGTTCTAGATGCCCACGTTGCAGAAGTTCTGACAGTCTTCTCACAAGGGGACTTTGTATTATCATTTCTCTGACTCTCGAGTCCCCTGCATTTTCAAGAATTGGTATCAGATCCTGCATTGCCTCCAGGATCCGCTTACTATCACTTTCTAGCACCTTATGAACGAGGCCTTCAAAAGTTTGTGGCTCTGGAGAGGGTTGACCTGCATTACTGTCTGACAGAACAAATCTTTCCAAACGAAGCCTCACTTGCCATGGAAAAAGGCTTAGATTTGCAGGTCGTAGAGAACCATTTGCAGGACCACTCAACTCATAAAATGCCTTCAAAGTGACAATTGCATGGTGTTGCACGACTTCAGACCCATTCTCAAGAAGTTTAATTAAATTCTTATCAATTTCAAAGGCAAACATTCTCTCAACAGCTTTTGATTTTCCGGCTTTCATCAATAATGTCAATATTGTAAAGACACTCTCGTGCAGTTCCTCTCTGTCAAGAGAGAGCAACTCTCCAAGATAGTTAAAGGGAATGCTTTGAAGCACCTTATCGACAATATCCAGGCTTCCAAACTCAGCAAGCTTTGCAAGGACAGTTAAGATGTTAGCTTGGATAGTTGGATCGTCACAAATCTCCAACACATTTGCTAGCTTATCAACTGCACCACTGGTTTCAAGCAAGGGAAAATACTTCGAATAGTCACTCCCACTAAAAATATTAGCGATCGCACTTGCAGATGTTGCAATCAAACCATGCGAATTAGCTGATATTAAGTCTGCAATTGTTGGTCCAATTATGCTACTAAAGCTTGCTCTGCTAGCTTCAAGCTCAGAAATGGATTTGCTAGCCATTAGGGCCTCGACAATGGCTTCCAAAGTGATAACAACTAGCTCTTCTTCTGAAACATCAAGGAGAAACTCTATCCTTTTCTGAACAATTTTCTTTATGCTCTCTTTCCCAAAAATAAGAAGCCATGGACAAATAAATGCTGTGCCTCCAGATGTAGGTTCACTTAGCAGAATTTCAACTGAATTATCTATCTTGCCATCAAGGTACAGAGAAACCATGTCATGTACTTTATACAAGGGGTCTGTATCAGTTTTCATCAGCAAGGAGCCTTCAACAAGCTTGCACACTACAAGAGGGAACAAGCTCTCCTCTCCAAGCACTGACCAAATGGACTCTAGACAAGATTCAGGTACAGGTTCTACCCAGCATAGAGCAGCAAGAGCTATGAAGAATTTTCTAGACTCTCCGAGCATAGCTTCTAGACTGAACTCAAATGAACCAAATATGGTCAACGTGTTCTCTGCTTCTTTCTCATTCACATAGGAAACAGGACCCGGTGCACATGCTGCGTAAGTAGATAGGTTGGAGATGGCCTTCTCCCATTTCTCAGCTCTTGTTTCTTTCCTCAGAGCCTTACCCATAACAGCAACTGTTAGAGGGTGGTGCCCACATCTTTCAAGCAAATTACTTGCCATATCCTATAGATAAGCAAATATTAGGCCATAATAAGAAAATCATCATAGAAAAATTGCAAATATCAGGGAACATTAGGAGCGCAAATGGCATAATATTATCCAGATGACTGCATCTAAATCAAACTTGATTTTCATGTTTTCATTTAGTTTACTTTATTGTTTCCAGTTTTAACTTGTATCTTTTTCAGTTACTTGGGAAGCATTTTTAGCTTCCAACTTTGATGAATGGTTTTTTTCAAGTTCACAAAAAAGCATTCAATTCACGTCGAAAAGTGGTGGAGAAGTTCTTGAGGAAGGGCTGCCACAGATGAAAACTTTATGGAATGCCTCATCAAATGTTGTTACTCCTCTCCAGAGCACATAATCCATCATGCTTCGAATTTGCTCTGGATTTTCTTAGGAGTGAGATTTCTATTTCCTTAATAGGAAATTAAATAAATTAGATAAAGAAAAGAGGAGATACGATGTATCTCAAGGAGGGTAAGCTATCCTTCAAAAATGAAAGTAACAGAAAAACAAAAACATTGCAATCAAAACAAAAGCGTATAGTTGCTACAGGCTCAATGCAAATTAGAAATTAGAGATTTCCAATTTTTACTTCTCCATACAGAAGTTGCAGATGACTTGCACATAAAAATAAGATTGTAATTCTACATACTAAGACTAGAGTAGCAGATAGATTTAGGGATTATTCCGGAATGGAATTTGAATTGAATAAAATAAGAACTTAGGAAGGAAAATTTATCTGAATTATCCAAACAACACTCATTCTGGTTGATTTTACTACTTCTATACAAACTTTTTAGAGCATTACCGTAAAGAGATTGTCAAAATAAGACTCCAGAAACCCTTTGCTAGATAAAATTATTTTGTAATTTCTATTTTCTTCAATGCATATTATTTTATTTTCCAAAAAACTGTTTTCATTTTCAAGGGACCATTTCTATGTTTTTTTTCATTGTATTGGTAGAGAAAATGAAATTAGAAAATTCTCATGTAACAAACAGAGTTTTAAGGTTTTTATTTCATATCAGATAGAGAATCAAAAGCCAAAAAAACATATAAACTAAAACAGTTGGGAAAAAAGAGGCTGAGGTAATAATGGGGATGGATAACCAAAAGGACGCTTAAGAGGGAAGCAACTCAGAAATTCCTTTTGGCCCTGCCTCGTGACAAATAAGGAGAGAACTAGAATTTTTGATTCATTACTGTCTACTAAATGATCCTCAACGATCCTGTTGAAGATAAGATAATAGCATAGGATGATGAGAAGAAAACACTTAGCCTATGGATGGGAACCAGAGAGCAGCTACTACTGAGTTTGTACAAGTGAAAGGTTTGAAACCTGTATGAGATACATAGATGGAAAATTAAGAATGGAATGGTTTGGCCTAACAAATGCTGGAAAAATGTCAATTTCTGTCCACATGATGTCATTTTCAACTTCCGAAACAGATTCCCTTATTTAGATATGAATTATGTAATGAGGAGCTGCATTATAGATTATGTAGCTTAAAATCTACTAAGGATATATTGAAACAATATAGAGCTCTTTAGTAATGATAAATGCATCCTAGAAATGGATATATACGTATATGTTTTATAAACGTTAGATTGATATTCCATACCGGAAGTTCTTCTTCACCAAGGAGGCTATGGTAGAGTAGGATTGCCTTGCTTATCTCCTTAGTGTCATCTTTGCTTAATTCAACTTTCTCAGCCTCGGTAATTTCATAGACAGCTTCATTTCTTGTTGTTACTAGATACTTGGAATCATTATCATACAGATTTGCAAACCGTTGGACTATGTCCTGCTCCCATACATCATCAAGAAGGATTAAAATGCTCTTTCCATACAAGGCTTCTTGAAGCTTAAAACAAACATATTCAAGATCTCCACTGTTTTCATCTTTAGTGTTTTTCCAAAATCCAATCTGTACAAGAAATCTACTGATTTTTCTTGCTAAACGTTTTTCATACTCAGCTTTGCTTCCATTGCAAGCAGCTCGACAGCATGCTTGCCCAAATCCAAGTTCAACTGCACCATCCACAAATTTCATTGGCAGATCAGAAGCCACTTGACGAGCCAAACATGACTTCCCAATACCAGATAGTCCAACAATTAGAACAACCCGATGAGAATCTTCTTTTTCCAGTAGATTCCTCACCAACTTACATTTACTAGAAAGTGGATAGCCCTGATCAGTTTTTATTTTCCATTTAATAGGCGTATCTTTTGCTGTTGACTCTATCACTTTACCTATATTTTGGGCCAATGTTTGAGATTCAAGCCACCAATCCAAGTCATTCCTCATTGAGTTTATAAACTTTGTGAGTGGGTCTCCAGCCATAGAACTCCATACTACCTTAGCTACATTTTTAATTTTACTCTTCGAAATAGTCCTTCTAGCCTTTGTTAGATTCGTGCGCAGCTGTTTTATCAAGGTATTCAAACTTTGAATTTGGTAATTCAACTGTGGGTTATGAAGCTTATGGCCTTGTTTATTCTTAGTTAGCCGTACTAAATTTTCGAGATCTCTCAAAAATTCTTCTATGTATTGGATTTTTTTTGGAGCTTCATCAAGATCCCTAGATGCTTGCTCTAGGGCACCAACAGCCCCTACCATACATGAAATTATTTGGGTAGCTGAAGAAATGACTTGCAGGACGTCCATACCACTCAAAACACAGATTGGCAGTGGCACACAAATTTAATCAGTAAACTGAAGTTCACCAGAGCGCCAATGTAACTACCAAGTGCTCCCTAGAACCTGAGGCAAACTCCCAATTCATATAATCTCAAATGCCCTTAAAAGAAATATCATCTTTACATGGTAAGAACCATTGAGATGGGAGTAAACCAAGTGAGAACCTGTTTTTCCCAGCAACAAGAAAAACCAAGTAACCACGCAACTTTGCCAACATAAAACACAAGACTGGAAACAGAGATTTAATGAGCTCTCCACACTACCAAAGATGCCATTATCCAGAAACCCAGATGCCTCCATAATTGTTACTTCAGAATTCTTTGACCAATCAATCCAGCGAGTACAAAAATTAGAAGGTCAAACTCCAGGCACAACATTGCAAGTAAAGCTTCAACTAAGTAGCGGTTGCTGAGAGTTAGGATCAAATCCAACTCATCAAATTGGTAAAAGAAAATGGCAAGTTTGAAGAAATCGATGTCTCCTTCATCAAAAGACTACCTAATTGCAGTCAGAATCTATTTCCAGCAAATGAAGATATAAATGACCCCCAACATAAACACGCTTAAAGTAGATCACTTAGCATCAAAACTCGTGAATTTTAAACAACAAAAACTATAAAGCTCAAGAGAAAACTTGCGTGAAATGTGACATGTGATCTTTGGGAGTATGAGAGAAGCAGTTTATTCTTACAAGAACACCCACAAAAGTCAAACCCAGTTCTTCTTTTCCCTCAAAGGTCATCGAACACGAGCAGAAACTATAATTAGAACAAAGTCAAGCCAGTATCCGGAAGAAGAAATCTGAGAGCAAGCAGGTTTGAGAATCAGAAAATTGTAGTGAGAAGCGTAGCAGAGCGCAAAGAAAAGAAGTACCTTGGGTGGGTTAAATGCTGAAAGGAAAAGGTAAAGAGGAGATTAGGAGTGGACTGCGCAGAGGATTTTTTTCAAAGTTTACAAAGAAATGAAGAAGAAGAGCAGACGGCGAAGAAGAAAAGTCTGCGTGAGCATCAGGAGGAAAATTTAAAGAAAAAAGAAAAGTGAAGATTTTTTATTTTTCTTAATTGACTATTTTTACAAAGACAGATAGTTAGTACTAATTATTTAATTAAATAATAATAATTTAGTATTATTAATTTTTAATTTTTTCTATATTAATGTTTAGTTTTTTTTTCTATAAAAACTGCTTTAAATGAAAATATACCATGTATACATTTTAAATTGTATAAATATTCTCTTAAAAAAATTATGAGTCTAGTCAAATATGAAATAAAAAAATTATATTAAAGCAATTAAGGTAATATCAATTATTTGAAATTAATTAGTAAATTAAGTATAAAGTATGTAAATTATATAATTATGGAAAATAATATGTAAGATTTAATGCACCTAAAAATTTTTAAATAATAAATTATTACTAACTAATAGCAAATATTGATAATTCTTTACTACGATAAATATTGAGAGGGTAATAGATAAAATATTTTATTTATTAATTAATTCATATGTTAAGATAAATAATTTATATACAAAGAAAAGACGAGTAAATAAGTAAATAAATGAAATTTCTAAATTCATTGAACGAAAATGGAAGAGGAAGTTGCGGTTAACCTAAAGTTTGAGTGAATTAAATATGTATCGGGTTTGAATTTCTCGCAGATATTTTTATAATCCTCCTTGTATTTTTTATTATATATATATATATATTTTTTTATATTTGCAATCGGGGTTTTTAATCGTATATTTTCGTTTAGATTTATTTTAGATGTTTGTTAAAATATTATGAAATTTATTGATAGAAATTTACCAACTTATACAATGTAGATTCACTTGTTCAGAAAATGGAAGATTGGGAAAGATTAGGATTAATCATAACACCTTTAATTCCAAAGTTCAAAACCCTTTGACCTTTCACAACTTCACACCCTTCCACCCAACACCATTCCCATTTCCTCTTCTCTCCATCTTCTTCTTCTTCTTCTTCTTCTTCTCTCCAAACCACCATTCCACATCCAACTTCTCTGTACAAACATATTCTCCCTTCACCCCTCGCACACTTACTACTACTCCAACTCTTCTTTCCCTCCAAAAATCTCATCCCCAATTCAACCGGCACTGTCCCAATCATCACCCATTTTTCGCCCTCATCTAGTTCCCACACGCAACACCTGTCCCTCCACGTCCCCCCCACCACCGTCAACCTCTTTCTCCGCCGTGTCAGTGCCGCGAACTCGAGCTTCTCCGCCATCGGAACTCCCAACTCACGCCAACTATTCGACTCAATCTCCACACCCATCACGCTAAACGCCCTTGCAGATGTCATCCAGTAAAGAACCCCGTTACAGTACACGCTCTCGTTCGGTGTCCAAACCGTCAATCTCACCGCGAATTCCATCGGCATCGGATCAACTCTTACCCACTTGTTTTGCTCAGAATCGTACATCTCCATTGTCGCCTCGTACTTCGCTCCACCTCCCGCCGCCGCCGATGACATTCCACCCGCCACGTAGATTCTAAACCTCGGAATTTGCTCATCTAAAATTACAACACCAATAGCCGGGTTGGTCCTCGAGATGTTCAATAGCGGAAGGTATTTATGCTGCCTGGTGAAGGGGTTACATATAATTAGGTGTGGTACAGTAGAGTTGGTGGATCTGAGGAGAACGAGGCTGCCGAGTAAGGAAACGGGTCGGGTCGGTTGGGGTAGAAAGTCGAGAGATAGTTGGTGCCAAGAATTCGTAATCGGATTATGAAGATAAGAAAATAAGCCATGGCTGCGAGTGGGAAGAGCGAGGAACCATGGTGGGTGGCGTTGTGGGGAGAGGGAGTTGAATGGGTAGGTGGCAGCACAGACATGCCAATGGCGGCAAGTGGATCTGGCTCGAGCTAAGGAGTCCGGCGAGAGGAAGGAGAAGATGTTGGCTAAGAGATCGAATGGAAGGTTGCTCCACATCTGTGACTGGAGGAGATGATGAAGAGTTCTCCAGGAGAATTATATATGAACATATTTATAGCATATTCTGGATTAGTGCTAATTAATCTTTCTTTTTTAATTATACGAGAGTAGGCGTGTTTGTGTATATATATATATATGGTTTTTGCATAACAATACAAATATAAGTAATTAATGTGTAATATTTTATATTTAATAAATATACATACATTGTTAATTTTTTTATCGTAAAAATTTTAATTTAAAAAAAAAAGTCAAAACAAAAATATATATTTAATATAATTAAATACGTAATGGTGTATGAAAAAATTATTTAGTACGTACATATTTTTTTTGACGGAATAAAAGTAGAAAATAAATAAATAACTATCTTTTTTATAACTGCAATTATTGGTGGGGTGATTAATAAATAAATAAAATAAATGATGACATGATGTGACGTTGGAATGCGGGACCCACATCCACGTGCGATTTTGTTGTGGACAAATTCTTTATGTCGTTTTGCGTTTATTTGATGGTCGTACGTTTTAATATGTTGAACTTTGGATCCTCTGCTTGAGTGTGTACAGTCAGATTCTCGTCGTCTTAAATTATTTATTTATTTTTATTTTTTAATTTAAAATATTACGTTATTTTTAATTATATATATATATATATTTTTTAAATTTTAAATCCAATTAGTTCTATATTTTTTTTAAAAATATTGTTTGATAATATTAAATATTTTATTTATAGTAATTCATTTGAAGAACACGAAAGCTAGTTGAAGTATTCAGCCACCTAATATTCGAATGAATGCTGATTACTTCAATTAAAATAATAATATTTTATTTAGTTAAAATTTTAAATAGTTTAAAAAATATTATAATAAAAATTGACCTTTAAAATCGATACTAAAAAGAACATATAAACTAATATTTAACGAGTTCGATCGTTGTTTATAATTACAACTTCCGTATATATTTTATTTATTAGAATGATCCCCTCTCGATAAAATATAAATTAATTTCTGAATTTTTCTCATTTTTTTTAAATTTTCTTTTCGTACTTTACTTTAATTTGTATTTATGGACTAAGTATTATCCGTAATAAATTATTAAAACAAAATTATTGAATCTTATATTTTAATGCACAATTAATGAATAAAACTATTAATAAAACTTTATATCATAACTAAAATAAGTATATAATTTAATATTTTTGTATTAAAAGTCAAACCTTTGACTCCCGCCTTCCACGTGTGTGTATATATATATATATATATATATACTATAAAAAGAAATAATCTTGGGTTTTCCTTCCTTCCAAACAGAGTCTGCCTAACGAACCACTATCACGTAAAAATAGGCAATACAGATTCACTACAAACAACAGACGTAGACGATAATTTAAAAATTTCCCGGCTGCCATTTTCACATGTTGGCCCCCAAATTTTCTTCCGATTTTGAATCCAATGGCTTCTTCGAAGAAAATGGCAACCATGATATCTTCCATTGCGTCATGCGTATATTTCCTTGTCATCGTATTTCAGGTCCCTCTTTTCAGGTTCTCATCGTTTTAACCCTACAATACAATCATCTTCATGATAATGATAACGATGGCTGCCTCATTCATTATCATCCAAATAAATGGTATTAAAAGGAACGAAATGTTGCTTTCGTTTCTTCTTTTTTCTTTGGCGATCCTCCATTTGTTTTTAACCACATTTTACTGGAATGCTACATTTTCTCTGCGAATTTGTTAATGAATACGACTCTGATTTTGATTTTAGGTATTTCTACCCCCTTTACCCTGTCAAAAATATACGAAAACATCTTATTCTGCCCTGTATATACTTGTAATTAATATATATATATATATATATATGTTATGGTGTTTGAATTTGTTTAGCGATGTGTGGGAGATTTTGAAATTAGGGTTTATATATATGATTTTTACAGAGTACCGTGTCGAAGAGGAACGTGTGCAACACCAATGGAGGTAGCATCGTGCCAGTTGATGGCGACAAGAGTTTTTCCTGAATTTGTGATAAAGGCTCTTCTGTATCCAGGCGCCATTGCGAAGGCTATCATCACTCACACAACTATCCCCACCTTTGACAGAATCTTCAAGTTGTATAACTTGGCCTCTGTCAAGAGACCCTCTTCTGCAACTGATCTCCATCGCCTAGAGGTTCTTACTCATTCTTCCAAGGGTGTCATATATATATATATATATACATATATGCATGTTTATTCATACACCATCTAATTAGGCAACCATGTAAGTTTCATAATTGGAGTTGAATTACAAAGATCTTTCAAGCGAAACTTCATCTGTTGCAATAATAGAGTATTACTTACATATCAATATTTGCATGAGAACAGAATTTAACTCTTAACTTACACCCTCACAAACAGGAGTAAAATTACTAATTCTTGAAGTAACGGATAGTTGGTTTTCATTAGATAAATTTTGTGCAGGTTATACCCGAAAAATAATATTGAGTAGGCTATATCTATGTTGTAGTTTTCTTATTATGTTAGTTTTTAAAGTAGATTACATCCCCCAAAAAACAATATTTTGATTCCCCTTGAAGAGATGAATTAGAATATAATATTAAAAATTAAGCTATTCTTGTCAATTTAATCCTAATAATCAATCAAGAAACTAAACTATGCCGCACAGACACCTAGTTTGCTATCAAATCTGTTGCACAAGAGAAAAATCAGTTCATTTGAACTCATGCCAAAACGGATTAAAAGCTCTAGCAAATTAATTACCAATTTCATGTGCATTGACCAGAATGATCTCTTACCTTACAGAACTCCACTGGTATATTGATATCATGATACAGGTTCTTGCAGGAAGCTACTTGTGTGTTGCAGGAGCATTTTTGAGTCTGATAAAGCCTGGAAGAATTAGTTTATTTGGAACACTTCTAACCTTATGGGGACTTGCAAGAGAAATTCTTCTCAAGAAAGTGGGTGAGACAATATTCCACAAAACTTCAACAGTTGATATCTATCCAATGATGTTAGTTTCTGTGTCTTGTGCTTTCTTGTCCGTAAGGAGGTACGTAAGAAGAATCGTCGGAAGTTCGAAAGCAAAATTAGACTAAAATCATTTAGTACAACTTCTAACACATCTTCGTAATTTATTTAACAGTACGAATGTATTCTTGAAATTGTTTCGAATTCAGAGTAGGATGCCAGTTTTTAACTTGTGTTAACCTTCAATTAGGAGGAATGGAAAAGGTTTTTTTCATATGAAGATATGTTTTGGGTGCCTTGTGTTAGACACTTTCTGTTTTACTGGTTATAATTTGGTTATTTGGCTTAGAGTGCCTTGGGATCTTGCTCTTTCAATCTATTTAATCCATACACACACACACACACACACACATATATATATATATATATATATTTCTTTTTTGCTGTCTTAATTTATTGAGTAATGATACCAAAGCATGGAAGATATTTAAAGGGTTGTATGAAGTTAAGGATGCCCAATAAAATAAATAATGATACAAAATTCAATACTTGTATTAACAAAATGAAGAAAACAATTATATTAAAATAAATAATGTAAATTATTTTAAATATTTTTCAGAAAAATTTAATATTATTTAAGTAATTATAATTATGTAATTATTTTTCATCATTTCCTTATTATATTATAATAATACTATATAATATTATAATATAAATAATATAATATAATATAATTAATAATATTAATTTATATTAATAAAGAGAAATTAAATTAAAATTATAAGTAATAATTTGATGAAAAATTGAGTCAGGTGACTAATTTAAACAAAAATAATATATAAGGATAAATAATTATTTTAGTCTATACTTTTTGATAATTTAACCATAATCATTATTTTTATTAAACATAATTCTAACTTTTTTAAATTAATAATATTTTTATAATTATTTTTATTATATATTAAATAATTTTTTAATAATACTTTTAAAATTTACAGCATAAACTATACATGATACGTTTTTTCATACATAAATATATTTAATTATATATATTTTTATTTATTATTTATTATTACATAAAATAAATTAAAAACAAAACAAATAATTTAATTAAATATACCATTCTACTAACACAAACAAAGATAATAATAATTATTATATGTTAATACATTATTTTTTAAAATATAATATAATTTTATTATTATCATATTTTATTATTACTATATAATAACATATATTAATAAATAATTATGAAAGTCATCCAACCATCCCCTTGTTTATACCAATGGAGCAATAAATGGAATTGGAGAAAAGAAAAAGAAAAAAATGGGTGGCGGAGGTTCGCTGAACGAAAGAGCCAAAAATCTAACAGAGGCATTTCACTGCAGCACAAACACCTTCCAGCTCCCCAACCCAACAAGGTGCAGATTTGTGGATGCAAAACACACAGATGGGGACATTTTTATTTCCATATTTTCCTTTTGTCTGTATATATGATTCTCTCTCCTTTTTTCTTTTGGAGTACATAAATTCTATCTGAAAATGAGAGATAATACTTACTTAGATTCCTTACACTTGCTATGACTAGTTTGCATGATTGATCCATCAATTATTTTTGCGGCATGTGACTAAGAGAAAGTCATCTGATCAAAATCCCACTTGCTAAAGCTCATTTTCGTCTTCCTATTATCTTTTTTTTCCTGTTCGTTGCAAGTAGCTTTACAATTCTCAAAGATAGACAGAAAGATTTCAGGGTTTTAGGATTTTGCTGTGTATACGATTTGTGGAGGGGGTATCTATTGCTTCACTTTCCTATCCTTGTCGTCTATTTTGAGACTTTGTTGAGAGGACCCAGTTAGAAATTTGCATTCTTGAGCTGGGTTTTTGGTTATATGGTTTCGCCTTTCAATTTATGAACCCTAATAAAGTTTAGGGCAGGAGCAGTGTTGAAGTTTGACGCTTATTTGGAATTGGTTTCTGGGTTGGAGGGCAGATTTTGAGTACGAAGACACATATAGGGTCTCTTGAGGATTTTCAAGCGAATTGGAGATCTTATTTCAAAATCCTTTGGCTTCCCTTAGATGGGTTTTTTTTTTGGTGTTAAATAGAAACTTTGCTCAGTGCTAAGAGTTCATCCGGTGCTAAGAGTTGTGTTTTGGTCGTTGCGAAGAGCTGATAAGTAAATTGAAGTTGAATACCTGTTCATAAGAAGTGGAGCTTGAAAAGTCTTAATTGACTGGTTTGCTTTGGCCCTAAGAGATGTTTGATAGAAGCTTGTCAATGTCGTTTCATTCATTGACTTATCCATCTAATACACTCGGTGTAAATGTGCAGAGAAATTCACATAAAAGAAGTTTGAATCCATTACTAGCTATGCCACCATCATGTATTCTCTTGCCCACAGGTGATGGTAATTTTCCTGAATCTAAGAAGGGTTCTGGTTTAAGTACAGGTTCAACAGTCAGTCTTTCTAATTCTTTACTCGGCCAAGCAAATACAGTAGGTATAATTGGAGGGGTATCAGTTGTTTCTACTTTAACCTTTTTGCGAAACCTAGTCGAGTGGAGTTCAAAGGACAGTCAAAATTCCTTGCCTTTTGTGCTTTGTTCTGATCCTTCCTTAAATAAGGAACTTATATCTCACGAGAAGAATTTATTTCCTTCCTTTAATAGAAGTGATTCTAATCCATTGGATCAAATGCTCATTGTGGAGAATCTAAAGAGTAAGAGAATTTTTCTTGAGAAATCAGGAGCTCGTTGCATAGTAATGCCGTGTCACATCTCACATATATGGCATGAAGAGGTTTCTAAAGGGTGCTCCGTTCCTTTCCTTCATATGGGTGAATGTGTTGCAAAGGAGCTCAAGGAAGCCAAGTTGAAGCCGCTTGAAGCTGGGAGTCATTTACGAATAGGGGTGCTTGCGACAAATGCAATTTTGTCTGCGGGATTTTATCAAGAGAAACTTCAGAATGAGGTAATCCTGCAACTTATTACATTTTCTTTTTGGCTGCATGAAATGTGCTTAGGATGTGATGTAGAGTGCATCATCTGCAGATATTTGTAAGCTTGTTATGCTGAAATGTGTTTGTGGTAGAAGCTTTGTTGTATGGTGGAAAGTTGGTAACTACTACTCAAAGATAGATATGATGCAGTGCGGCTTTTGTTTGATAAGTAGCATTTGTATTAAGAGACCAAAAGAGGCATCTCAAGTGTGTAACATGCATATATAGAAATTCTATGGCAGGAGAAACAGAAAAGATAGAGAGCGGAAGTGAAATATGTTAGGACTAGATTAACCATCAATAAAAGGAAGAGGATATATGAGAAATTCCACCATCCAAGAAGTTCACACAAACAGTTCTTTTAGTATTTCGCTGCATTCCTCGTGACTAAGTTCTCTTGTTCCTTTATAAAGCCACCAACCGAGTGTTACCATAATGCTTGAATTGAATGGAAGGTTATTCATGCCTTAAAAACCAGCAATCATTTGGTATAAACACAAATTGAAGTTTTTATGGAAGGAAAGCAGGTAAGAGTAAAATCTAGTGAGCTTTAATAATAGACATACTCAACACACAGATTTATCTTTGGGCCTGGCATGGATTGACTGAGGTAGGCATATAAAGTTCCGAGAATGGGAAGTATGATCCTTGATAGTTGAATATCTTTTGCCATCAATATTCCTATCCCTCTCTCACTTCAATGTTGTATATACGAAAATTTATCAGGCTTGGAGAAGAGGAGGGAACAAGAGAGAGGTTAATCACGGAATTGATCTTTTATGGATCCAAAATCCAGATATTTTATTCGAAATTCTGGTTGTCCAGAAACTAGGAGAATATTCTCTTGAACTTGCCTGTTATGTTAAAACCTGAAGATTTTAGAAACTTATGGACCTCCACTAATTCTACTCTTATTAAGAAAAGAAAATAAGATAGCCTGTCATCTCATGCTACTTTAATTCCTTCAAATATTTACTTCTTGTAATGCGTGATGCCTTTTTCTCGTAGTTCTTAAGTATTTGGCTGTGATGCTAAAGGAAGTTAGACTTTGAACCTTGTAACAATGTTGTTGCAAAGACTCCATATACATTGGCAGAATATGGGAGAAAGTCAAAGTTTTATGACAAAATTCATTTCCTTTTCTTTTTTTCTTCTTTTAGATTAAATTGGTTTTAAAAGAATCTGAATACCTTGAATTACACACATTTCCCATGTCCCTATTTATCTGCTAGCCTGCTGTATGGTTTCTACCTAGGGTATCCCCTTGCAGAGGAAGGCTATATGACATTAGCTAAGTTTTTTCTCAGAGCTCTTGAGTCTGGAGGTCCAACTCTTATGTTTGACAGAAAAATTTAGGTGTATTATTGTAATGGTTTTCTTTATCTAGTAAGAACTAGTGTTTCCTGATCAAAGGTGAAAAGGTTGGAGCCCAACTGATCAGATCAGAATAATATGTTAAGATTCATGAGCCTATTTGGATCCACAACAAAAGCTTCTTATTGGCACCCAACTCATCTGCCAATGAGCTTGTGATGAACTGGCACACAACTCGATTTCTCTGTCTTACCCCAGACTAGACAAGCAGATTATTTCAAAATGAAAAATAAGTATTTTCTCAAGGATGTTACGGAAGTTCCATTCTCATGTAGAAACTCAGAGCTTGTAACATCTTAGAAGAAACTCAGAGCTTGTAGCATCTTAGAAGAGCTTGTTTCTTTCTCTCAAGTCTTCTCTGGGGAAGAGGTTGATTTAAGGTTACAAAATTTTTAGTTTGTAATTCTCAATCCTGCTAATAGGTTTATGACAGTTTCATTTCTTCATATTGCCAAATAGGGGAAGCGAGAATTCTGAATATTGACCAGGAGCTTTGAATTACTACATTATGATGATTAGGGTCATAGATTTGAGTTTTTTTACTTCTCTACCTTGCTCATCTTCAATACAAATTATTGTCTTTTAATTTTCAGTTCAGAACATTTCAAGAGGAAAGAGAAAAAGGATAAGTCAGGACTTGTGTGATGTATATTATATTAACAAGGTACCAAAACAGGGGTATCGCTCATGTACAAAAGATTTACATAAGAGTTAGTATATCAATGACATTTTCAAAATCTTTATCACTAATAATATCATGACCTAACAAAATGGTTCCAAAATAATGCATTCATTTATCTTTTAAAGTATACAATCCACTAATTTTATCGTCAAAAGCCTCTAAAATTCCTTTCTTTTCAAATAACCCAAAACATAGTCAATAGAACAATATTAGCAATATTTCTTTTTATGCATAACCCTTCCCAAGCTCAAATTTCCCCATAAACCGAACCCGTCATAACCCACTCGATTCCCAGTAAGCCATAGATCATACTCCATAAGTTATGTGCAGCAGGACACCAAAACAGTAAATGGTTGCAGGATTCCTCACCCTTCAAACACAGATAACACCCATTCACAAGGATCTGTCCTCTTATTCTAAGTTTATCAATGGTGAGAATCTTCTCCCGACAAGCTTCCCAAGTAAAAAATGCAACCCCCAGAGGGATCTTGGTTTTCCAGATTTGCTTATAGGGAAAATTCAGACAACCCTCAGTAGAATCCTCCATTAAGAATTTGTAGTAAGATTTGACAGTGAATTTTTCAGGCTTCTCCAATTTCCAAACGAATTTGTCAGATGAAATTGTGATCTGCTGTGATGATAAAATCTTAAGTGTGTCCACATAATCACTGATTTCCCAATCATTTAAATTTCTTGCCATATTTATGGACCAATTTATGTTTCCATTAATCTTTTGGTAAGCATCTTCAATCAGCATATTCCTGGATTAGACAATACTGAATATCTCGGTAAACAACACTTGAGACAACCCAACTCCAGCCATTCGTCAAGCCACAATCTAATCTTGTTCCCCTTGCCAAGTTTCCATTGTGAGCAAAGTTTGAAAAGAGGCTTGCCGGATGGAAGCGTAATTTCCTCTCAAAGGGAGGAAGATACACTTTAATTAAGAGCACAATGACCAATTTTCCTATCTACTATCTTTCTACTATTTCATTTCCGGTGAAAGTGGCTAGGAAACTGGAAACAATTCAATGTCGCTTTCTTTGGGGAGATGACAATGAGAAACATAAATATCATTTGGTAAATTGAGAGGACATCAAAAAACCAAACAGAATTGGAGGGCTTGGTATAAAATCTATGGTGAAAATGAATGAAACTCTTCATGGTAAATGACTCTGGAAGTATATGAGTGAAGATAATAGACTGTGGAGAAATATTGTGGATGCCAGATGGGGTGACCCCAACCTGGCCATTAGGGGCATATCAACTGCCCGCATGGTCGAGGCTTATTGAGGAAAATCTTAACAGTCTATCCATCTTATTTCCTCTGGGACTAAATATTGTTCCCACATTGTAGTATGTTGCTTCTCCATGTAGTTTACAGTTTCCACTTTTTACAAGCTTCTATTGAGTATTGACTTTCGTTTTTGGTTTTATTGTCTTGTAGAAGATTTTTTCATCTGTTCTTTGTTTATATTAAATTTTATGTGAGTTCTTTAAAATTCTGGGACGCAACAGACCTTCGCTCCTTAAAAGACTAGATCTGTTCTTTTCTTAATTTCTGCAAGAAAATCATGATATCTATAACATCATCTAGGAGTCTAAATTGTTTTAGTACTTACTCCCTTTTGTATATGCAGGGATTTGAGATTGTGCTGCCTGATAAAGCAACTGTGGAGCGTACTGTAATACCTAGTATTGAAGCTTTAAACAGAAAAGACATGGAAGGGGCTCGCAATTTACTGAGAATTGCGCTCCAGGTTCTACTGTTGAGGGCAGTGAATACCATAATCCTTGCATCTGATGATATGAGGGATCTCCTGCCACGGGATGATCCTCTTCTTAAGAAATGTACTGATCCAATGGATGCTTTAGTCCGCTCAACCATCAAATGGGCACAAACTGTCGAAAAAGATATGTAAAGAAGATGCAGAATATAACTAGCTTTCTCTCTTTCCTTCTTTTTTCTACCCTCGTTCTTGCCACATATTCTTGATGTAGAATTTTAGCTTTACAAAAATTTACAGGGAAAAATGTATCTAAAACTTTCCCTTGCAATATTGTGCATATCTCTGCTTTGATTGTTGTAAGAGTGGAGGTTTTTGATTCTTTTCAAGAAAAAGAAAGAATAGAACTTTGCTTGATGCATTGTTGCCTTTTAGATCTTTCAAAAGATTGTAATCTGCAATCTTTGAGTTGGTCAACTTGTAGAACCCAGTGTTAGAGTTAATTGCTAAATCTATGTTTCTTCGGGGAAACATAAATGTTTCTAAATCTTAGAATCTGGAAACAATCATCAAGAAAGCATCATACAAACACATGGCTCCGTTATAATATCTGGACGCATCATAAGAGATAGTTTCCAACAACTATTTCGGCTGCTTAACTTCATTCTTATTTTCATTCTTATCTCAAGTTGTTTATGTTCTCAAGGATTGTCCTCTCACACTAACGATAAATGATGTGTACGTGAAACAATGGAAATGGAGAATGTGACTTTGTGATGTGGTTGTATTAGTAGAAAAATAAGACTCTTTCCTTAGATGATTTGTCATGAAGTTGCACTAGTAGACTGATAGTACAGCTGCTTTTA